TGACCTGTCTTCTTTTGTAGAATGGGAAAGATGAAGGGATTTGCGGTTGCAGCCTCTCTAGTATCTCTGCTTGCATACAAGGACAGCCCTAGTTATGGTAGGATGCAGATTCTTAACAGGATCAGTTATGCAGGAAATAAAATATAGGGCAAGGAATGGAGGAATGGTGGCTTATAAAGACTTATAAGAAATGCAGGGCTAAAAAGGTCAGAGGAAGACCTATAAAACAGAACAGTCATACGAGTTTCTTCTCAGAAATAGGACCAAGTGGCTTGCAGAAAGCCTGCTTTGTAATAAAGAGACAGTTGCCTCAGCTTCCTCAGAAACTTACTTGCATTTTTTCAGAAGAGCATATTATAGAAAATGGCTGACATTCAGGCCACATCTTGTAGGAAGGAGTGTTATCTGGAACTGTCAAACTGTCTTCCTTAAACACCAACAGCCCTGTATAGGAGGATGAATTCAGTTATTCCTTAAGTTCACCTTTAAAGAGTTGAGTAAATGTGAAAAGTCTTGTAGTGAGCTGACTGGCCAGATACTATGATTCCCGCATTTAAGCCATGTTTTATAAGAAGAAATCCTAGGCTCAAAGGTCAGTCTTCTTCAGACTTCTGGCTCCCCATGCATTCGCCATGGTGTTGCTTTCGGGATTAACTCTTGATGGCTGGGGCTAACTGCCATTACAAGCTGTCATGTTCCTTGGAAGGGTGCATGAAAAATCCAGACTTCCCCATCACAAGAGAAAGAATTTTCCACCTGTGCATGTGATGTTGATTATATCACTACCAGCCTGAAGTGAGTAAATGAGCATGGGTAAGGGAAAGAAAGTGAATGAGATACGCATTTATACGTTTGTACTATATGAACATGTACAGCATAGTTTGTACTGATTCTTAGGTTAAGCAGCACTGCTTACTTATCTGTGAATGAGGTTCATTTGCAGTCACTGCTTACCTAGCAGCTTCAGAAAACGAACTTGAAAAAGTGCACTTTTCCTGTAGAACCGCTAAGTGTCACTATCACTCTCTAGCCTTCCCTGCAAGCTTTAGTTTCTTTAACAAAGCTTCTTTGCTGAAAAACGTCGGAATATCGTAACTTCCCGAAAAGCCTGGAGCTGGGAAAGTCTGCACCTAAAATGTGAGCAAGTGATTGAATGTGAGCTATTGATGAAATGAATTCTGAATTACATTCAAGCATAGTGTTAGAAAGATTTCCAGACAGTTTTATGAAGTATGGCTTGAGACCTACTGAAAATGATTACAGGATGGAATAAATGCTTCATGAGGAGATGTTAGAAAGGTTGAATTTCTACCACTTGGTGAGCAATTTAGAGAGCAGTCGAGGAGCTGAGATTTACAAAAATAACAAAGGAAGTAGATAGAGCAAATGGAAAATTGTCCTGTAACAAAGGACTGCTTTCTTTAGTTCTACCCAAGATAGAATTGAGGACACGTAATATGGTAGGGACTCATTTGAAAAGAAAAGAATAAAACAACAACAACAACAACAACAAAAAAAACAAATAAAAAAACCACAAGAACCTGCTGCTATGAGAGTTTTAGGAGCAGGTATCAACAGATTCACAATGCCTGTAGACAAACTAATGGAAAGCCAGTTTATAAAGATAAAAAAGGGGACAGGTAGTAGCAGTGTGTTCCTTAAGGTCCCATGCTTCGATGAGGGAATAGAACAACGGAAATAGATCACAGATATTGGCCAGGTGAACCTGCTGTCCCTATAAAGTATTAAGTGTAGATGAATCTGGTAGACTGAAAGATTCGAAGGTTCCTTTTGTTCCTAGCCCAATGGAGATGAGCAGGAGCTTCTTACCCATTTCAATTCTCATTAGTAGCAGGGTCGTCAAATTCGCAGTACATATACAAATACTGCCTGAGACAAACAGGATACAGTACTTTAAAGATACTCATATAAACAAAGCATGAGTAGCTTGTTTCTAAGGGCAGGCCTTAGTTCTCTCTTGAATTTTTGACTCCCAAAGCACTCATCCTACTTGCTAACTAGAAAGTTTGAAGTTTGTTAGTGTGTCTCCTGTGCACGCAACAGAACACAATCAGACAGGATTGAAAGAGTTTATTAAGAATACAGTACAGACTGGTGATCAGGTGCAAAACTTGTCTGCATAAGTACATTGAGTACATAAGTACAGTAAGTACATTGACAAGAACCTTCTCACATTAGCAGATTAGTTTAGCCTTCTCATTTTTCATATTTGTTCATCTTTGATGCGTCTTGATATCATTTCCCTTTCTGTGATTATTACCCCAAGCTATAGTCCTGCAAATACTCAAGTTCTCTTGCGTCCTAAAATCCTTCTCCTCAGTCCATACTAAGTCCTGATGCCTCTTTACTGTTTCCCTTTGTTTGCATGGATTCCAGAATGAGTTTAGTGAATTTTGCAGCGGGGACAAATAGCTTAGTCATTCATGCAGCCATTAAGGGTTGTAGAAGAGGTTTATTCACAGGGATTAAGTCGGCTGGGTTTCCAGCCTCCTTGTCTTCGTTCCTTTGATCACTCTCAGACTTAAAAAAGACCAAAAAAAAAAAAAAAAAAAAAAGAAGAAGAAGAGAGAGAGAGAGAAACAGTCAAACACTTTTCCATCTGAATTTAAAGCAAAACAAAACCAAGCATTTGGAGCCCAAACATCTCGTTGTATGGTGTTTTTCAGTTTTTCAAGCAGCAGCAAATGTTACTGATCCTAAGTCATCTCCTGTGAAATTATATTACTGAATCCGGTCAAGTCTTCTTTCCAACGTCATCTGAAATCCGGGAATAAATTCACTAACTCCGACGTGGTGTTAGTAAACAGACATTCTTTGTTTACGACATCCGATGTGCCAGGGGATTTCTCCGCCCTAACCGCGCATGTTCTGCTTTTTCAAAAGATCTTCAGCTTATATTCAATACTTGTGTTACATATGCACATATGCCCGGTTTTCCCTGGCAGTATATGCATATTCAATACTCCCCCCTAAAATCATTAACATTGGCTCCTGCCTCTTTACATATGCTCAGTGATTTTGGTTGGTAGTCTCAAGACCCTCGGGGAATGAATTTAGCAGTCTTCATGACCGCATTCCTCTTGTTTTTCCAAGTTGGGAGTTTTCCACAGCTCGTTTGCAACAGTGAGCAACTCTTTCTCACTTAGATGATAGGAAGAGTTCTTGTGGAGTGATGTACTGGAGAGGGCATCCACACCGACCTAGATAACAGTGATATACTGGGCTCCTTGAGTAGGTAAAGGATGTTATGCAAATGTGTTTTGCTTAGCATCAGACAATTAAGGCAAGTTTTCCTTAGCAAAAGCTAGTTTTGTGAAAATAAGTATTGTTCAGTTAAGGATATCACCAACACCAAGCTCAAACTTTAACTTAGTTCCCTAAGCTGGGTAACTGACGTAAGTGATGTTCAGCAGAACCAATCAAGGCAAGGCTGACGTGCTCGTATAGATAGCTTCTCTTCTTATTTCTAAATGTGGTAGTTCAGCTCTGGCACTTTCTTAATGCACTTCATGCAGATTTCTGCTGTACACCTGAATCCAGGCGGAGAACACTCCAGTGATTTCAAGAATTACACAAAATGTTCTCTTAATATATCCTTATAAGCATAGCTGGTGAATTGTTGTATAACATGAATAATACTTGCCTGAAACACCATAGTAGCCTTTAGATGTTACGGATGATATTTGTGAGGGAGGTAGCATTATAAATGAGGGAGGTAGCATTATAAATGGGGAGACGTGTTGTAAGACTGTCCTCCTTTAACATGATACAAGTTATAACAATACAATTAAGCTTGCTAGCTTTCACTGATGGATACCCCTGTTCTGCAGTTTGTTTAAATAACAGAAAGAACCTGCCTCTGAATCAAGGAAGCTCTGCTGAGTCTTTGTACTAAGTAAATAGGAGGTACAGCTTAGAATCAGTCACTCAGAATCAGAACATGCAACATACTTTTGGGAAAACCTGTAACAAAAAAAAGCGACATAACTCCTAGAAACTTCTGCATATGCAACATATCTCTTGGAAAATTTCTGCATATATAACACCAGTTATGTGTATAAACAGAAGATCTTTTGTGTAAGCTATGCGCAATTGGAGGAGCACCTCCATGTAACCAGCACCGTCAGTAAGAATACTTGCTTAACTGTAATAAAACTTTTGCTGTTAAATCTTTTTGCATCGACTTCTTCAGTTCACCAGGCACAGCTCTTTCAGCTGCATCATGGTCATTCATCAGTGTTTTCCTAAGTATCAAGATAAATATTTTACCTACATAAAATTGCTGATGTTTAGTAAGATTAACCATTCTCCAGAAGAGCTGATTGCAAATTTTCTCAACAGAGAGCACACTCTTTAAGCTGAGTGCTGCACCTGCCCTGCAAAGCTCAGTTCCGCTGGTTATAAAGCTAGAGCTATCGGTCCATTGGTTCTCTCCCCAGCGCTGGTAGAGAATACAGGACAGCGACGCGTGCCCCTCACCCGCTCTGATTGCTGGGGCCTGACGGGGCGCAGAGGCGGGAACCACAGGCGAGCACTGCCGGAAAGACAGCTCTCATACAAGGTTCCCAAACGCCGCCACCAGGCTGCAGCTGCCGTCGCCCGGGCAACAGAAAGCGGCGCTCGGGAAGAGATCGTGTGCCCGGAAGCGCCTCAAGAGAGGAAGTGACGAGCGCTTGGGTGCCCCGGAGGCCAACAATATTAAAAAAAAAAAAAAAAGGCGGGACTGGCGTGGTGGGAGCGCGCGGAGCATTTACCATCCCCGCCCCACCGTTCTGCTCCGCCAACCCACAACGGCCGCGCAGTGCGCCGAGGCTCCACCGCCGGGACGGGCTGGGCCGCGGCTGCCTGGAACCGCCTCGAGGTAACGCCCCCGTGCCGCCCTCCCTGAACAACGGCACTCGTGCCCCGCCCCGCCCGGCCCGGCCCGGCCCGGCCTGGCTGCCCGCGCACGGGGGCGTGTCAGGCGGCGGCGGCGGCGTGGGACTTCGGTGGCGCCGGGCCCTCACAGGGTGGCGCGGGGCTAACGCCGGCGCGGGAGCGGCGACTGCAGGTGAGGCTGGGCCCGGGGCCCGGGCGGCCGCGGCTTATTCCTCGGGGCCGGCGAGGGTGCGCCGCAAGTTGACAGCGCCTGCGGAGCGGCCATTGTCTGTCCTACGCCGAGCAACTGGAGCGGTGGTCGGCAGTAACTTCGTCTCGCAGCGGCGCTCCCGCATGCCCGGCAGCTGCCGGCCTCGCCGAGCTTCGCGCCTCCAGCTTCGCAGGGATGGGGTCGCAGTCGCGCCTCGTCCCCTGTCCTCCTCCGCCAGCATCCTGCGGCGGGTTCCCCCATCCTTCCCTCCCTCGCTTTCTTTCCATTTCTCCCCTCTTCCCTGCCGGCGAGTCTATGTCGTATTGCATCTATGTGTTGCGATGAAGTGTCTGCAGGCAGCGTACGGCCGCTCTGTATTGGGCGCTCAGCCCACCCTCTGTTGGATGCAACTCGCACTCGCCGAACTTCGTTCCCTGGGCTGCGAGCCATGCGGGGACTATGGCTGCGCTCGTGCCCCCCTCAGCCTTGGTGGGGAACTGGGCGGGTGGGCTGCGGGGCGAGGTGCTCACAGTGCTTTACTGTTGCACCCGCTGCTGCCGAAACATCTGGAAACCAAGTTACGGGTCCCTACGGTTTCCTCTCTCTGCCTGAATAGTTCACAGAATGTGCTGCAAGAAAGCGATGGTAACTGTGAGGAGGAATGTCTGGGTGGTTGGCTGTTCTGTCCTTATCTTCTGGTCAAATCTGCAGAAATCTTGTTGGTTAACTTAGTCTCCCAAGGATGAGATTACAAAACCAATTGTAAGATTAGGAGATGTTCTGCAGGTAACACCTGTGTGCCAGGATGGGGAAAGCAAGTAAAATTTTTCTAAACCTGATGTGTTCAGTAGCTAGAGTAGATGCTTGCTCTAATCTGCTGCACTTGAGAAGGGCCAGAGGGCTGTAGACAGGCCACCTCTGTTTGTCTTGTGTGCTGTTATCAGCATTGCAGGTTAGACTCTAGGCTGGCTCGTGTTCTCATGTTTGCTTGCCTTGTTCTATAAACTAGTTCTGTGCCTTTCTTTCACCTTCCTCTCTGCTGTGTTGTCGTTCTTGTCATGGTGTTAATAGGTCTTTGTATTCTTCCTTTCCTGCCTTTCAGGGTGCAGTTCTGTGCTAAGTATGATATAATTTAGCTATCTAGTTGTTGTTTCAAGGTTAATTTCCACTGAGGCCACATTTTTACTGCCTTCTTTTTTTTTTTCTTTTTTTTTCTTTTTTTTAATTTTCTTGGGATCTATCAGTTATGCTTGTATAATGGTTTGCATGACTGTTTGGAGTATCATTTAATAATTTTTGGTAGATTATTAATCTCATGGAGCAGATAGTTGAGTCATCTAATAGCTCAGTGATCACTAGACTGACATAAAATAAAGAGGAACGTGTCTGGAAGATGTGTGTGGAGAGGGGAGAGGGTGAAGTCTGGGCTATTTTGTGTGGAAATAGCCTGTGTCTGAATTGGATTATGGTAACGTGGAGCTGCCTCCCTAGATGTACTTGCCTGCTCGAAGTGGAACTTAGCTCTTCATTTTTGTGTTTGGAAAGGTTTGTGTTTGTTGGCCAGTCCTGTTCATTAAATTCTTACCTCCCTTCTGCAAAGGGAGAGCATGCTTCTCTAGCTATGCCTCCAAAGGCCTTTTTCCTACAGAGTTTTTTGAGTACCTTCTTTCCAGAGGTTCTAGTGTGTCAGGAGGATTCTCCTTCTGCCAGGTCTTGATTATCTGCAGATCTAGATCAGTGTGAATCTCAAAAATGTGTGAAATCTTGCAGATTGATGATGCTGTATATGAGGAAGCATGAGCTGATGGAATGGAGCACCAGGTTTGAAGCTAGGTTTCTCTTTCTAGTGCAGCTTTTGAGAGTAAGGCCATGTGCTACAGCTAGGCTGAACCAACGTCTTATTTAGTTACTTTCTCTTCCACACATGATTGACAGCTGTAGGGTCACAACTGAGCTACTTCAACTCACTGATCTAGCCAAAGCTTACATTTGAAGTGTTTTTTTTTTTTTTTTTTTTTTTTTTTTTTCCCCCCAAAGTTAACAAGTTGTGTCAACTGATGGGAAGATCTAGTGGGCATCAGAAGTGAAGTAAATGCTGGGAGGAACCTGTGAGGGCAGATTGAGAGTGGGCAAGAGAACAGTGTCTCCTATGGAGAAGGACTTGGTGGTCCTGATGAATGAAAAGTTGGACATGAGCCAGAAGTGTGTGCTTGCAGCCTGGAAGGCCAACTGTATCCTGGTGTGCACTGAAAGAGGGTGGCCAACAGGACAAGGAGGGTGATTGTGTCAGTTTGCTCTGCCCATGTGAGGCCCCACCTGCAGTAACACATCCAGGCCTGGGGCCTTCAGCACAAGAAAGCTGCAGAGCAGTTGGGGTATGTCCGGGGGAGGGCCACAAAGGTGACACGCAGACTTGTGCACCTGTCTCATGAAGAAAGGCTTGAAGGCGTTGGGCTTGTTCAGCCTTGAGAAGAGAAGGCTCTGGGGAGACCTCATTGTGGCCTTCCATTACTTGAGAAAAGCTTATAAGCAGGAAGGGGGGCAACTTTTTGTACACTCAGATGGTGATAGGACAAGGGAGAATAACTTTAAACTAAAAGGAGACTTTGATTAGATGTTAGGAGAAATTCTTTTTTTTTCTTTTTTTTTTTTTTTTTCAGTGGGTGGTGAGGCACTGCAACAGATTGCTCAGAGAAGTTGTGGGTGTCCCATCTCTGAAGCTTCAGAGCCAGGTTGGATGGGGCAGTGGGCAACCTTATCTATCAATAGAATGGCTTAGTTTGGAGGAGACTTCAGAGATCACCTAGTTCCAAGGCTCCTGCTGTGGGCAGCTGTGAGCCACTCACAGCTTGATCTACTGGTTAGCAACCAAGATCACAGCAGAAGGGGGGGGGGGGGGGGGGGAGATTGGAACTAAATGATCTAAAAGATAAGGTCCCTTCCAAGCCAAGCCATTCTGTGATGCTTTTACTTGCGCTATAATGTGTACGGTTTCACTTTGATTGTCACATTTGTCCTATGTACTACTTCTTTGTCCCACAGTCCTTTGAAAATGTCTGTATTCTTTCTCCTCAATTTCTCACTTTTCAGTTGTCTCCTCCGGAGCTTTTATCTTTTAGGTAGGCTTATTGACCAACTCTTTCTGTCTGTTGCAGAGTTGTGGATGAGGACAGTAGTGGCCAGCTAGGAGAGTGTTTCAGTTGAGAAGAGGGTGGCTGCATGGTCGAGTTGGTTGCTGTGGTCACTGCTGAAGCAGATACAGGAGGCTAGTGTTGGATTAGCAGGGAGACACCTAGGCAGTACTTGAGGGCAGAGGTGAAGATGCACAGGGTGCCAGGATTGAAGCAACATCAACATGCTGGTCAATTAGAGAATTTTACAGATTTCAAGGAGCTGGTCTGGAGCAGCAGTTCCCCTAATTTTGTCAGTCATTCTCAGTACTGTCAGTGCTATTGTTTTTCTTTAAAGGTATCTGCTCCTAACGGTGCTCCTAACACCGTTCTGGAATTTAAGAACGGATGGAGAATATTGTTTCACCTCCTTTTATGCTTTCCTTACTGACCTGGAAAAAGTTGAGTTTGATGAATGCTAAAAAGCTTGAAATGTTTGGTATTAAAGAGGTGTAGATACAGGGGCTGTGCTGGTGCTGTGGGATCCTGGAAGCCTAGGGGTCTTATTTAAGAGGTCTCAGAGGTAAGCTGTTGGGGAGCCAGCTGGTGGTTTAGTTAGTCTCTGATAGTCTCTGTATTACTATCTTTTTTTTTTAATCTTATACAAATGATATCCTTCTAAAAGATTTTTTTTTTTTCCAGAATTCTGTTCCCAGTTTATCACTTTTGTCTTCCTTTTTCTGACTTCAGTGGCCCCCCATGCCTCCCATCTTCCTGTATAGTGTATGCTTCTTGATACAAGAAAACCCCGCGATCATTTCCATGTATTACTTTTCTGCTAAGTACTTTTTTTTCAGTCACTTCTCTTCCTCTTGGCTGATGAATGCCATCTTCAGGCTTTTCTCAATCCTGCAGGCCACTGCAACTCCTCTTTCTGCTGCTGGAAAATCTCTGTCTCTGCATGACTCCTTCAGCAATTTTCATCTCATAAGCATGGCTAGTGATCCCTTCATCTACTCTGCTTGTGACTCCATCCATACCTACAGCAACTCACCACTCTAGATACCAGCTTCCAAATGAATATTTGAGTTATGATCTGTAAGGAACAATGAGTAGCTGGAAATGCATGTGTTCAGAAAAGAAGGAAACAATTGAGGGGGCTAAACTGGGAGAAGAAATTATCTGCGGGGCAGCAGAGTTGTAGGATAATCGAACCTCTTGTGAGACTAGAGGAAGAGATGATAAGAAGTTGCAAAACTGCAGTGGCAGACTAGAAACACTGTTGATTTTCCTCAGTTCCCTGGGCTTGAGGTAGAAGTAAGCAGGTCTGTAACCAAATAGTTTCTGAATGACCTGCAGCTGCTACTTCACTCTGCTACCTGTTTAAGAATTCAGCATGCTGTAGCTTCCAATTGCAGCATGTCAATAAAAATATGAGAATGTGTGTATTACGTTTCATACTGGTAATGAAAGATAGAAACTGTGAGCATAATTTCTGGATTATTTCAGCCTCTGGCATCCCTTTACCTTTGTGATGTATCAAAGTTGTGGAAGAAGCCTGGTACTGGGATATTCAAGTAAAATGACTGTGTAACACAATGCACTACAGGTTGGCTCCTTCTATAACCTGACATAGTTCCCAATTCTCTCAATTTAGAGCCGGAGTCAATCTCAGCCAAGCTCTTGGGATTCTGTCACCATGGAGACTGAGAGTGAGCAGAACTCCGGCTCCACCAGTGGGAGCTCCAGCTCTGGGGGAAGCACCCGTCCTCAGATATCACAGATGTCTCTGTATGAGCGGCAGGCTGTTCAGGTGAGGTGCTACTATGTGCTGGGAATAAATGTGTATCAGTGAAAGGGTGGTGAGCCCTTTTGTATGTACCTGAGTCGTCGTGTCAGGGTGGGACCTTGAAGGGGTGTCTTGTTTCTGGATTTAGGATTTTTTGTGCTAGGCCTGACTTTTACTTCATTCTTTTATAAGTTACTCCACCAGCCTCTTAGATTTAATCTACTGTGATCCAATAGACTCATTTTAGCTCCATTATTCTAGAGCAAGTTGCTCAGCTTGTCACACTATTTTCTCTATACAGACTTTACCCTATGAGTGTCCAACCTTTTGGCTTGTCTCGGACCCACTGAGTGAATAGGATTTGTCTTGGGCCACATGTGCATAAGTTGCTGAACTCATAAAAAAAAACATGTATATATTCTTCAGCTGAAGGGACCCACTGTCACTGCTGCTGAAACACACCACCTGCCACCTCTCTGTGCTAACATACACTGTTTGGTGTCCATAATTGTTCAGCAAGCATTGGTGAATGTCAGTGGGTGCAATTTTTTCCAAATTGAATTCAGTTCCACACCATTTCTTCATACACACTTCCACGTCAGACAGCAACATACAGTTATTTGCCATCACATGAGTCAGCACTGTGCACTGCACAGCACTGCCCTCCCCACGTCTCAGCTTCAGTTGACACAGTGTTAATAGTGTTTAGCCATTGCTAAATGTTGAGTGCGTGTCTGGGACCGCTCTGTGGGGACACCGTTTTTGTAGCACAGGGTGGACTGCGTTGCAGACTCTGCTGGGCTGCATGGAGCCCATGGGTTGGACATGTGTGCTTTATCCTATATATTCATGCTGTACTGGAGCACTTGTCTGCCTGCTGAACCATGAACACTGCCAGATTCCTGGAGCTTATTAAAATTTTGCGAATGTGCTTTTTGCTATCTTAGAATATACCTGTGATTCAATCTTTATCAATTTTGTAGCTTTAATACTTATTTTGGTGTTCTAATGTGGTGGCCTTGCTTTTTTCACGGGGACTAGAGATTGTCTCAAGGCTGTTACTTATTTCTTCATTTATCTCTCTAATCATGTTTCAAGGACATGCTATTTTTCACAATTGGGTTTTACTCTTTCTTCAGGCTCTTCAGGCACTCCAGAGACAGCCCAATGCAGCCCAGTACTTTCATCAGTTTATGCTCCAGCAACAGCTTAACAGTGCCCAGCTTCACAGCTTGGCTGCTGTCCAGCAGGTGAGTTGCACTGGATCTGAGGAAGATGTGGAGATTCTCTGCTTGTACACTGAGGTCCTTATCTGCGATTCCCTGAACACGTTGTTTGGGGTTAATACAAACAGCTAGTAAACTGTGAGGGTTGATGAAAAGACTCGTTTGCTTTTCAGCAAAAAAATTCACCTCACCAAATGGGAACTTGCACTTTGGAGGCATGTGACTTGCCATTCCACCTCCTTGAAATAAAAGATAGGTGGTTAAATCACCAGGGAATGTTTTAAAACAATCTTAAAGTGAACTGTGGATGGCTATTTCTCTAACAGTAACTGTAGTTTTCTGTATGTGAAATTTAATGTGAGGTCCTCTGAATTTTTATTTTGAAACTACTCTGTTTTCTTTACTAGTTACTAGAAAGAAAGTTCCTAGAAAGGGGTAGATCTTATCTATCAGTAAGGGTGTTTCCCTTCAATCCTTAATTGATTTTGGATTGAATTCCCTTCAATTAAGGGTTGAATTTCTTTCAATCCTTAATTGAATTTTGCTTATTGAGATGATGTATGATGCTTAATTGTTGAGCAGGTATTTTTATTTAGCAACTTTGCTCACCTGTCAGACTTTGTCAGTTGAAGATGAATTAAATGTGATGTGACAGTACAGGTCTGTCCCTCTCAGTAGCTTTGCTTCTTGGCTGTTAGTCCAAGATCTAATTGTTTTCAAATCCCTACCTGTAGTTCTATAGCATGGAGTGAATAGAGTATCGCGAGTATCATACTAAACTTTTCTGTAAAACCGACTAGACACATATAGTATACTTGCTGTGGGATCACATAGGAAAGGAAAAAAGCATTGAACACTATTTACCTTCCTCCACTAACCATACGTGCCTCAATTTGAAATTTGTTACTTGCAGTGCTACCATTGTATTGTTAATAACTTGCATGACTAGCCCAGCAAATTGCTAATATTGGCAGGGACTAACTGGGTGTTAACAGTGGACTGGAGCATCATCAAAGTTGCAGCATGTAGCATGACAAACTGAGGCAACAACAGGATATGTACTTAATTGTGGAGGAATGAAGGTCATGCACTTTCAGTGTTTATTTCCATTGCATGTGTTGTACAGGACTGAAATGGTTTGGTGAAAAGGAGGTGCCTTGCTGAGTTGCACTTGATTTGTTGAGGGGTTTGTAGTAGTTCGACTGTGCTCCAGTTCTTGAAAATGGGAGAAGATGCTGATGATGAGACTCCGTGTTTATACGAAACCAAATATTGGGACCTTTCTTTCAAGTACTCTTTTCTCTGTCAATCTTTCTTACAGGCTACTATTGCAGCTAGTAGACAGGCCAGCTCACCAAACACCAGCACCCCACAACAGACTACCACCACCCAAGCCTCTGTAAGTTATCACATATCAAAGCCTTTCTCTGCCCCCTACTCTCCTCTGCCCTTGTTCTTTCTCCTCTTTGTCTTTTAGGAAGGCAGTCAGCCAGGGAAACACAGCTTCTAAGAATGCTGGGAGTCCACAAGATACAGACAACTTTGAGGACTTGGGGTGCTGTCATAATTGGTGGGGGTTGAGGAGCCCAGAGAAGGTTTCTGAGTGGGAGAGGCCTCTTAGCTGGAAAGGTAGTCACTGATCTCTTTTTCCTGAGGCTTTGGGGATATGTTGTCATGGTTTAGAAGAGTATCAGGACTTCTTAGAAGGAGGAGTTTTGAGCAGTTTGAAAGGGACTATTCTTTGGCAGAGCTCATTGAATGAGTGGAAGTATGATTTTGTAGTGCATATTGGGAAGCTGCAATTTGTTCAGGGAATAGGTGAGTTGGTAAGGTAGATTACTTTGTTTTTGCTGGTTTGATTTTATTTTTCCTTTACTTGAGAGGCTGGAGAAAATGTATTTTTAGATCTCTTATTGAAGTTACAAACTATCAGAGATACCTGGGCTTAGCTTACAAATGAGTTTAGCATTCAGGGTTGGCTAATTTAGATTGCATAACCCATTAAGGCAAGAATTTCTTTCTTCTTGGTCCCCTGCATGATACAGGGAGAATCTGTGAAATATTGCTTCTACGCCCCAGTAAGTGGATTTGTTCTTATTTCTTTTGTCCCCATCTCTTCCTGTATGATTTGGGACTTTTCTCTGTTTTAAGATCAACCTAGCCACCACATCAGCTGCTCAGCTGATCAGTCGTTCACAGAGCGTGAGTTCTCCCACTGCCACAACTCTGACGCAGTCTGTGCTCCTTGGGAACACCACTTCACCACCTCTCAACCAGTCGCAGGCACAGATGTATCTCCGGGTAAGAGATATGTACACACAACTGTGTCTGTGTACACACAACATGTATGTACACACAACATGTCCTGTGTATAAACTGTGTCTTCCTAGACACTCTTGTTTCAGTTTTTGGAGCTACCAACACTTCTGGGCTAATTCCAGATTTAACTAACTCAGAATTTAAGAGTGTTGTGTTCTGAATTCAGATGGGAAAGGTCTTGTCACAGTTTGACTCTGGGCTCAGCTTAAGATGAATTTTGTATTGTGTACTGAGATACTTAAGAACCATATTTGTCTCTGCTCTGCATAGATGTTAAAGATCCCATGGCACTTCTCACTGGAGTACAAGTGTGAAATATGTTTGCTAGACTTGACTATGGCTCACAAAAATAAAACTACTTGTTCATTGTTGGAACAGATAGATAGTAAATTACTCCCTTCAGCTACTCCACACAGGGACACAAGCCAAGATTCAAGCACGTCTAGAAACAAATCAATATGAACAAATAATCTTTTTAATCAGTTTGAAGTGCTGCTATATAAAAAACATTAGACTTCACTATTATCAATCTCAGGTTTGATTACTTACTTGGAAAATATGTTTTTTCTTTTTGTTGGCATTAGATAAAGATTGTAATCTCTTTTTCAAGTAACCCTAGTCTTGGATATGTCTTTTATCTCTGCTGGTCAACCAGTCCCAGATATACGCCTCGGAATTAAATTACATGCAAGTCTTCTAGCTAGTCCTGGATGGCCTGTGGGAGTTGACTCAGGCCCCTTTTTTTAATAGCAGGTTATTTGTCTCCATAAGAAAATTGCTTCCACTTTCCTATTCTTGAGGGTTATATTTACTGTTACATTGCAGGGAATGCTGGGATTTTTTCCAAGCGCAACATTACAGCCCTTTGTTGCTCTCTAATCTGCTTGTGGTTCACTGTCTTTCTGTATTCTCCTCCGTTCCTTTCATTTCACATCACCTGACCCTTCCCCCAACAGCCGCAGCTGGGAAACCTGTTGCAGGTAAACCGGACCTTGGGCCGCAATGTCCCTCTTGCTTCCCAACTCATCCTGATGCCTAATGGGGCCGTGGCTGCTGTCCAGCAGGAGGTACCACCTACCCAGTCTCCTGGGGTCCATGCAGACACAGACCAGGTCAGTGACACCTCCTTCCTGGAGTCCTTCTCTTCCCCTGCACTCTGCCACCTGCTCTCTGGTCCTTTGCTCCAGCCACCAATGCTTATAAAGAAGGTTGGCTCTGTTTTATCCCCGTTCTGTGTCCCTGTAACTAGTGCAGATAAGGCATGTTCTCTTGTCATCATTTCTCAATGTTTGCTTTTTGCCTCCAGAAACAGGATTCATTCCAGCTTAAAATTTCTGAGATGAGACATAACCTGAATCACATCTTCACAGTTGCTCGATTATCCTTGTGTGAAAAAAAAATTGCTAAGATCTATGTCCATTTTTTTTTCAGTTGGACATTCACTTTGCAAGAAAGAGTCTTTGCCAGCAGTAGTATTCCTTTGCCCAGTTGGTTTGTTGTAAAAATGCCTAAGACTGAACAGGCCACAAGTTCTTATCTCCTGCATTCACCTGCAAATGTTTCTACAGATTGCTGTGGCTTCCCATTTTCCTGGTCCTAACCCAGTCATGCTTGGGATTTCCAGTAACTTCATATTTATCTTGTCTGAACCACTTTTTCTGGCCATGTTAGTCCCGATCAGATGTGAAGATAACACTGCATGTGGAGGGGGAGTAAATACAGAAGATGGCAATGCCAAAATACAGAGGAAATAGAGAAAGGCTGCAGAATAGCTGCAGGCATCATAAGTGGAAAGCCCTGCATAGGAAAAGAGGCAAACGGCACAGAAGTTGAAAAGGAATTACTAGTCTTTAAAGGAGTATCAGCGCTTTTAACAACCATGTGAAAGTGGATCCTAGCAATGCAAGGGCGAGGCAGGTCTGAAGGCTATTGCATGCCTCAGAGAGAACGGTGGTGTTCTTACGCGGTGTTCAGAAAGTGCCAGAGATCTTTAACTTCCATCAGAGATGGAGCAAAAGGGAGTTCACGTTTATATATTTTCTGGGAATAGTTGCAGCTGAGCTTTATCCTGCAGTGTAGGCCAGCTCTGCCTGTGAGACTTAAAGCATCAAATCAGCCTGCATCCCAGTAGAGTTTATTGCTTATGCATTCTCTTGTTCTCTACTGTTCTTAGACTTTTAGGAAGTTACATGCATAAAACAAACAGACTGTATTTTGTATGTGTTTCTAGGTTCAAAACTTGGCTGTGAGGAGCCAACAGACCTCAGCCACTAATGCCCAGCTCCAAGGCTCTGCTCAGAAGGCGGCTCTGCCAGGAAACTCCCAGGCTTCAGGCCTACCACAGGCCACAAGTACAGGCCAGACTGTGGCAGTGGCTCCAGCCTCTTCTGGCAGCATGGGCCAGTCTCTCAACTTGAGCCAAGGGGCAGCAGGCAGTAATGGTGTCTCCGGGGGTGTGGTTGCAAGTAGTGGGAGCCAGAATTCTACAGCATTGAGCCAGACAGCCTCTGCAGGTTCTGCTGGCAGCTGCCAACGGAAAGGAACAGGAGTGGTTCAGCCATTACCAGTAGCAGCTGCCCAGGCAGTGACTGTCAGCCAGGGAAGCCAAACAGAGTCAGAGAACGCAGCCACAAAGAAGGGTGAAACGGACAGTGGTGGACAGCAGACTGTGGGCATGAACCTTACCAGGACAGCTACACCAGCACCCAGCCAGACATTGATTAGCTCAGGTAAGTGGTGCTCTCTTCCTTCTCTTTGAATTACCTGGGCTTTTGTGAGAATGCCATTTGAAAGTCCAGCAGTGAAAGGTTCTCCATCATGCCCTCCAGCTTCAGTGCTCCCACGGGCTGTTCTCCTGGGATTATCCTGCTCTATTAATGACAGAAGTTGATCTCAGCCCATTCAGTCCTCACGGTCTTCGACCAATAAGCTGTCATTTTGGAGTCATTTTACTGAATCAGACCAGTACAGTGGCTACTTGCTTTTTCTTGTTCTCAGCTGTGCTATTGGTAACCTTTATTCTCTCTTCTTGTTTGGCTCTGTGTTTGTATATAGCTACATATACACAGATTCAGCCACACTCACTGATCCAGCAGCAGCAGCAGATCCACCTGCAGAAACAGGTGGTAATCCAGCAGCAGATTGCCATTCATCACCAGCAGCAGTTCCAGCACCGCCAGTCCCAGCTCCTCCACACAGCCACCCACCTCCAGCTGGCCCAGCAACAGCAACAGTCATCATCTCTGACCCAGCAGCAGCAAGCTCAACCTCCACAGCAGCAGGCTCCACCTCAAAACCAGCAGCAGACTCAGACCCTTGTGGTGCAACCTATGTTACAGTCCCAGCCACAGTCTGTTCAGCTCCAGCATGACAGTCCTAGCCAGCCAGCCACCAAGTCACCTGTTCCAATTCAATCAAAGTCTATGGTCACCATCAAACCACCTCAGCTTGGGCCTGCCAAAATGTCAGCAGCACAGCAGCCTCCACCACACATCCCTGTGCAGGTGGTGGGTACTCGGCAGCAGGGCTCAGGCCAAGCCCAAGCACTGGGTATAGCTCAGATTGCTGCAGCAGTACCAACTTCCCGGGGAATGCCAGCTGTGGTCCAATCTGTTTCCCAAGCCCATGCTCCTTCCCCACCTTCTTCAGCTCCAGTATCCTCGCAGGAAGCTCCTCCTCTCACTACAGGGGTGAATTTGGCACAAGTTCAAGGTACAACCCACATGGTGAAGAATCCTACCTCCTCTCCAGTTGTGGCTCAGATGCCAACAGCATTCTACATGCAGTCTCTCCAGTTGCCAGTAAGTCAAGAGAGAGAATGCCGTATGGATTCTCTTTGTTCAGTCCAAGGACGCTAATTGTATTCTAGCTGTGGGTGAGTGGGATGGGAGGAATAAGAAGTTTGAATTAGGGAATATGTATGGAGACTTTACCTTTCAAGAACACAAATTCCAGCCCAGCTCTTGGGGTTACTGAGCACAAGCATTTCTCTTTCACATGATCATTCATTCAAAGACTTGCATGAAACAAATAGGGGAGACTCGGACCCTCACTGAAACAGGGTAGGTGTCCACATTACATACGAAATATCCTATTTAACAACAATTGGCCTCTTCATTGTTTCTCTCAGGAGAGAGAAGGCGGCTGTGTGGGCCATGAAGACTGAACTTCCCTCTCCCTACTAGGTGTGGATATCTCCAGGTCAGAGAAACCTTGATGTGTGGTCTCAGCCACGCAGGTAGAGCTGGCTCTAGGCCTCAGAGGATTCTCTAGCAACAGGCTATGCAGAGGTAAACAAAGATGGCTCCTGTTCCACAGGCCTCTCTCATGCTGCTCTGAATTGTCCAACTAGGATCTACCTGACTAACTCCTTGGTACACCAACACTTTCCCAGCTCAGATACCCTCAGCTGGTTGCTGTGACTGTACTTTTTAGTGGGGCTTCACTTGTATAGTCAGGGACAGAATGTGCCAGTTTGTTTCTAAACTCTGACTGCTTCTTCAGGAAGTTACCACTGGATTTGTCTGATTTTTAGAACTGGGGGGACGATTCTGCTGTCATCCAACATCTTTCCTCAACTGATCTGACAGATTTTCATTAGATAGGATCTGATGTAGTCAGAAGCTTATTTGGAAACTTCTGAGTGACTGCCATTCCATTTCTTTCTTACTGGAATAATACCTCAATGTTCTCACAGTGTCTTGGTATTATATGAATATCTCAATATATCAACTAGGATTCTAGATCTTAATCGCAGTAGTCTGACAGTGAGTCTTTTGAAGTTTGACTTTGGCTGACAGTCATTTGAAAGTTTGGCTCAGTTCTAGACAAACACTCCTAAATAAAGATATGTACTCTGAGGAAGCTGGAGGCATTTCCAGGGTTGGAACCAGACTGGAGATAAGTACGATGGACCAGGGTCTATCTCTGCATTGCCTTCAATCTGTGTTGTTTTCTGCATTGTGATTTTTCTCTTTGCTTACGTGTTCTACTTTGTTCATGCAGGGCAAGTCTCAGAGCTTAGCAATAAAGCGCAAGGCAGAGTCAGAGGAGGAGAAGGAGGTATCAGCCAGTGTCACTGCACTAATGCCTGCCAGGTCCTCTCCTGTGACAGATAGCCCCAAAAATGTGGAGGAAAATAATGGCCATGGAGGTGAGGTACAAAGTAGAGCTGCATCTTATGTGTGCTAATAATCTGATCTCACGCTCCATGTAAAGTAGATTGAGCAATAGTAACACTGACACTTGGGCTGTTAACATTCCAGATAAATCTGATTCTGCTGCTACTGCAACCCCAAATGCCACATCAAGTGAAGGAACATCAGTCACCTCGACTTCTGTTCCCACTGCAAACCTGGCAATGGTGTCACGTCAGACAGGAGACTCCAAACCTCCACAAGCCATTGTTAAGCCCCAGATCCTCACGCACATAATAGAGGGCTTTGTCATCCAGGAAGGAGCAGAGCCCTTTCCGGTAAGAATTTACTGCTGCAAGGGAAATATATCTCTTGGAAGGGTGGCAAGCATTCATCTTTCAACAGATGAACAGACTATATTTCCCCATGTTCCAAATCAGCTTTTTTAGCTTAAAACACGGAATTGAGGAAGGCAAAGGAAGCTGTTTTCATGCATGAAGCTAGGTGTCAAGAATTGTTACTAGAGAACAGGTTGGAGAGAGTAATATAAGAGTGATGGGAACTGTCTTCTCCAGTAGTTCCCAAAGCAATACATTATTTAGGAATTGTAAGAAGGTTCTTCTGCCTGGGATTTAGTGAGGGAAGGATGCACTGCATTGCATTTTGAGCAAGCAGCAAGTTTAGGCAAATGAGGGGCGATAAGTCACATGGGTAGGCTATTCAAGGAAGACAGTACATGTTGAAAGAACTCTCACATCTGTGAGTCAGGAAGGAGTAATAACTTTGTTCAGTATCTTCTTCACTAGGCAGAGGGATTCTTTTGAGTCATAAGGTGTGAGGGACTTATGCCTTGAAAGGGGATGGTGGACACAGAGACTCCTTTATTGATGGGCCCAATGCTTTCTCTTCCTGCCCAGGTGGGTTGTTCTCAGCTGCTAAAAGAATCTGAGAAACCTTTGCAGGGAGGGGCTCCTTCTGGTCAGGGTGAAAACCTGTCCAGCAATTCTCCAGGAGGGAACAGTGCTTCTATGGGTGAGTTTCAGCACCAGAACACACAGGTAGCGGTACTGAAAATTTCTTATAATACTTCATTATTTACTTTATATAGTATGGACTTGTGTTTCTTCCTGCCCTCCTGCTAACTTCTTAGAGACTCAAGCTACAGACCCAGGGTCTCTTTTTCTCAAGTGCCAGAAAATATTACTTGTTTTTAATACAATCTAGCACATGTTAGTAGTAAGCAGAATCTGAACTGTGATGACTTAAGGTTGTAAAGGGTATTTGGACACAGTAGAGAGTGCAGTGGTGGAGATTCCTGTGCAGACTTATAGGGTATGAGGGATATGTTATTTCTTGTTAAGTGAAAAGATACTGACAGGAGAAGTGCACAACTCTGTTCAATATCTTGGGCTTCTAATTAGTGAAGCTTCTGCCTCTCCCCAAGCTAATTGCTTTGTAGCTTCAAAAGAGTGCTTGGAATCTGCTCTGAGAAGAGCAGCAGAATGAGGAATCTTTATATGTGATTTGTTTCAGTTCAAATAATCAAATGGTGTGCATCTCTGTGTCTCACTAGAGCTTGATAAGAAAGCAAACTTGCTGAAGTGTGAATACTGTGGGAAGTATGCCCCAGCTACCCAGTTCCGTGGCTCCAAAAGGTTTTGTTCCATGACCTGCGCTAAAAGGTAATAGCAAGACATCACTTCCTTTTCTCGTGAGTTTCAGAATTTTCTGGAATTGGGCATTTGCCCTTTTTCCAGTTAGTGTATACTATTTAAGTACATCTGATTTTCCCTTCATGGGATGCACTGACCACACAGATCCTTTAGGACTGGACGTGTTTATGACTTGTGAGTGCTTCTAGGAGGCATATGTGGTGTTGAGTATAAACAGGATTTTTTACTTGCTCAGAAAATCAGATGGGAAGGGGGAAGTTCTTGGGCTCCAGAGAACCTCTGTTCAGTTGAACATACATTTGGCTGACTAAATTAATGCATACTGACAGCTGTCTGCTATATTGATACCAGACAAAGACACAAGGAGAAAAACCTGGGAAGACATTACAATAGCAGAGTACTTGTTATGGGTTTTCTTTTCCATTAAGGGAATGACTTAATTGACCTTTCAGATGTTAGAGCAAGACTTTGGTATACAAATATTGCTTGTGTCAGAAGTCTGGACTGGTTTCTTCTAGGGAGAATTCTTAGAAGGAAGAACAGAATTTGTTGGTAAAGATGAGTTTCATCCCCATCTAGAGAAAGGAGAAGCAGTAATTTAGTTAATTGCTGTTTCCTAATTGCTGCTCTGCTTCTACTTATTTGAGGTACAATGTCAGCTGCAGCCATCAGTTTCGGCTGCAGAGAAAGAAGATGAAAGAACTCCAGGAAGCTAACTATGCTCGAGTGCGCCGACGGGGATCACGGCGCAGCAGCTCTGAAATTACTCGAACAAAGATCCAGGGCAAGCGTCACAGGGTAAGGCCATAGTCCTGTCTGCTTCTGTCAGAGCAGCCAATGTAAAAGTTGCTGCTGCTAGAGGCATCGGGTTCTTGTAATGTATGTTGTGGCGCATTAACTGCCAAGTGGATGTTCTGACACAGTTGTTACACAGGGCACTGTAAGCTACTCCCATTGCTTGCTCATCAGCTGCAAAAGTTAGATTCACATTTGTACTTCTGTTTACTCTGTATTTACTCCAACATATGTCACAGATGTCTGAGTGAGTGTGATCAGCTGACAGGCTGATCTGCTTTTCCTGAATGGTTAGCTTTCTTTCAGAGAAATGATTTGAATCAGATTATAGAAGGATTGAATGATCTTCCTGGACTTATGCAAAGCCTTTGACATGGTCTCTCACCACATCCTTCTCTCTAAATTGGAGTGGTATGGATTTGAAGGATGGACTGTTCAGTGGATTAAGAATTGGTTGGCTGGTTGCAGCCAAAGGGTTGTGATCAATGGTTCTATGTCAGAGTGGAGGCCAGTCACAAGCAGCGTTTCTCAGGGGTAGGTTTGGGACCAATGCTCTTTAACATCTTCATCAGTGACACAGAAGATGGCATTGAGTGCATCCTCAGCAAGTTTGCAGATGACACCAAGCTCAACAGTGCAGTCGATATGTTGGAGAGAAGGGAAGCCATCCAGAGGGACCTGGACAGGCTGGAGAAGTGGGCCCATGAAAACCTAATGAAATTCAACTAGGCTAAGTGAAAAGTGCTGCACTTGGGCCAGGGCGATCCCAGGTATTTATACAAACTGGGGGAAGAACTCCTTGAGAGCAGCCCTGCAGAGAAGGACTTGGGGGTCCTGGTAGATGAAAAGCTGGACATGAGCCAGCAGTGTGCAATTGCAGCCCGGAAGGCCAGCTGTGTTCTGGGCTGCATTAAAAGAGGAGTGGCTAGCAGGGAGAGGGAGGTGATTGTTCCCTTCTACTCAGCTCTTGTGAGGCCCCATCTGCAGTACTGCATCCAGGCCTGGGGCCCCCAGCACAAGAAAAATGTGGAATTCTTGGAACGAGTCCAGATGAGGTCCACTAAGAGGATGATCAAAGGGCTGGAGCACCTCTGCTATGAGGAAAGGTTAAGGGAAGTGGGATTGTTTAGCTTGGAGAAAAGAAGGCTCCAGCGAGACTTCATTTGGCCTTCCAATATTTGAAGGGAGCGTATGAACAGGAGGGGATATGATGGTTTACAAGGGTGGATAGTGATAGGACAAAGGGGAATAGTTTTAAACTAAGAGAGGGGAGATTTAAGTTAAATATTAGGAAGAAGTTTTTCACTCAGAGGGTGGTGACACACTGGAACAGGTTGCCCAAGGAGGTTGTGAATGCCCCATTCCTGGAGGCATTCAAGGCCAGGCTGGATGTGGCTCTGGGCAGCCTGGTCTGGTTGTTAGTGACCCTGCACACAGCAGGGGGGTTTGAAACCGGATGATCTTTGAAGTCCTTTTCAACCCAGGTCATTTTATAATTCTATTATTTAGAGCTGTCATGAGGAAGAGGAATGGACTGTGGGAGGATAGTGAGGAAAAGGAAGGGAATTGAGAATCTCCCTTTTGTGACATCAAGCTGTTGTGGCAGCTGCCCCTGGACCAACAGCCTGAAACAGCTGTCACTGTCTGGGAAAACTGCTGCTGCTCTTAGTTTCTGACTTTTACAGTTAATAAATGTGAATGTATTTGTTCTTCATTAAAGCAAAACAAAAACAGCAAAAAACAAACAAACAAAATGCTTATGTTTTCTTTCTTTTTCGTGGGCTTGTAGGGCCAGGAGGATTCAAGTCGAGGTTCTGATAATTCTAGCTACGATGAGGCTTTGTCCCCTACATCTCCAGGACCTCTGTCAGTAAGATCTGGCCATGGAGACAGAGACCTGGCAAACTCTAATATGGCCCCACCTACCCCAGATCTACACGGCATCAACCCTGTATTCCTGTCCAGCAATCCCAGTCGTTGGAGCGTGGAGGAAGTGTATGAGTTCATTGCATCACTGCAAGGTGAATCTATGGTCCATTCCTGCAGTTCTGCAATCCAATAGCATGGGGAAATTTGTTGACTCTCTTTTTGGAAATCTTTGAGAGTGATACGTCATGCTTTCAAACTGTATATGTTTCTGGAGTAGGTCATGCAAATGGATGAGTTGTACTCCTCTGCGAGTGAGATGGGGAATTGGGACTGTCCATGGCTGTTTCTTAGTGCTATTTCCTTGCTTTCACAGGATGCCAGGAGATTGCCGAAGAGTTTCGGTCACAGGAAATAGATGGCCAGGCCCTGTTGCTTTTGAAGGAGGAACACCTCATGAGTGCTATGAACATGAAGCTAGGACCTGCTCTCAAGATATGTGCCAAGATCAATGTCCTCAAGGAGACCTAACAGCTCTGAAGCTAGCAGTTTCAATTTTGCTCTGACCCCAGAGCAGCTGCCAGCTTTAAGACATTCTGTTGGGGCAAGGAATGGGACAATCCCATGTGGTCCTGCATTCAAGAATGAAAAGGAATTTAACTGCCTGAAACTGCCATGCACAAGCCCATGTCTTGATCTTTGAATGGTGCTATAACAAGGGAAGAAAATTCCCACCTGGGGCCTTTGAAACTTCCTTCCTTCTTTGGATATGCCTCTCCCATATACCACATTAAGAAGAGAAGGAGACTTCCTTCTGTTTTAGCAGCCTTGTAAAGGGGAAGTGCCCTTGCCCCTTTTTGCTGTAGCAGGTTTGCTGGATCTTGGTTATGCTGGAACCTGAGGTACAGGAAATTCCTGCCCTGCATGGTTTTGGGAGCAGCTGTGTGTGGAGTATTTAAAAAGGTCCAAGTGGCAGAGGTGGGTATACAAGAACTAAAACAAAAGGGGCTGTTTCTGTTATAGCCTAGGTATTTTTTTTGAACTGTGTTTAATAGCCATTCCAGCACACATATCAAACTCAAAGGCCAATGGCATTAGGAGCTACCTTCCCTTAGCTTTACTGTCTCCAGTAAAGACGCAGATTGAAGACTAGGTTTTTTGGCAGCTATTCGCTCCAGATGCCCATCTTTGAAGCAGAAGAGGATTTATCGTGACAAGGTGATGGGAAAATCTGAGTGGGAGGATGGGTTGTCTTACATTAGAAAACCCTTCACCACTAGGTGTCATGAGTGTGATAAAGTATAATTTACAGATCCAAAGCAGTCTCCAGAAGTGCCAAGGCTCTTCATATTAAAAAAAAAAAAAAAAAAAAAAAAAAAAAAACCTTGGAATTTTGGTTCGCATTTTTTGTTAAGTTTGTTTTCTGTTCTTTTATCAGTTTGTATTATTTTTGTCTGTTTTCATTATCCTCAGGAGAGCTTACAAGACAAAGTTTAAGCTGGCAGGATTGTATCACCTGCCTTAGACTTTTTTAAATTGATGTTGTAAAACAAATACTTCTCTTCCCCAGTGTGTGTGTGTGTGTGTATATATATATATATATATATATATATATATATATACATATATATGTATAAAAACACTCTTAACAACTGATTTTTAATTTTTTTTAATACAATTTCTTCCTAAGGGGTACAGTGATGTTTAGAGGATAATCCCCTGCCACTCAGCTCTCACAGGTTTTGTAAAGACCAAGTTCTGAATTTTTTTAGCATTTGCCAAAGATGAAAATGTGCAGTTCTCTTCCAGAAGCACCTTCACTTTTAAAAAAGCAAAATGAAAACAAAAAACAAACTCTGGAAGAAATTATACAAAGCATGAAGAGGTAACTGTCCCCTACAGCTGAATACCTGAAAGCAAGACTTTTTCCTAGGCAGTTTGTCTCAGCTTTTTTATTTTCAGAAGTTTCACATGCATATTTGAGTAAAACATTAGACTGTTCTATGTGGAAGGCACCTACTGTTGCAGGAGTGTTGTGGCATGGGTGGAAGCTTAATGGCACAAGAAACCATCAGAGATCTCTATAACAGTCTCTGTATTGACACACCTCATAAGAAGGGGGGGAGATTCTAAAGTGTAGTATCAACTTTCCAGTTCTAACTGAAGTGTTGAGTCTAGGAATTTATTCTTGATATCTTCATTCCTATGAGAGAAGGATTCTAAGCCTTCTTGAATCAAAATAGACCCAAAGAAAGCCACCAATTCTTGCACCTTGAAAACACTCTTCAGTCCAATGAAAGTTGAGGGGACAAAAAAGGCAGAGGTGAGCACCTCTAATGGCAAAGGAGGGCAGCCTTTAAACTATTTTATTAGCAGGCTGGGTATGGCAAAACTTGTTTACTTTGGCTTTTGACAGGGTAGGCAGGTAGTATTTGCTGCTTTTGAAGCCTAGATTAACTTCAGTCACATTTAAAGGTTTCACTTCTTCATGTTACATTCAGTGTTCTTAATAAAAATTGTTCAGGTTTTAAAGGTCTGGCCACTTTTTAAACTGTCTGAACCTGACTATTCCTGTCAGTCAGACCTTTGAGAAGCAACAACTTTGATTTTCATTCTTACAGAAGAATATAGGGAACTTTTCTCCTTTGTGCATATGCCTGAACTTTGAAAAGTGTGCATATTCTGCCTACACTAACAGAAGAGAGTCCTGGTAGAAGTATGAAGATACTGCATAAGGACCCTTGGATAAGAAGGGTGGTCTAGCACCAAAGAAAGCTGTTAAGTTACATCGGCACAACACTACAGCAGGGTGTCTGGTCATTTTATTTTTGAAAGTTGTTTTGTACAAAAAACAAGTTACCTTAAATACCACCATGAAAAACAGTACCAGCTGGCTTAATGACTTCATTTTTTCCCATGTTATGAGAAAGACTGAGACCATAATTTCTGCTCTGACTTTTGGTGTTTGCCCACTCATCCCCCAGCAAGAAAACAGGGTCATCTCTTTGCCCCTACTGTCATTGGTTATACTGCTTTGTCAGTATAAAAACCCACAAACCTTATCTGTACCATGCCATTAGCAGTATTCAGCAGTCTGTGCCCTCAAGATCAAAGACTGTTTTCTTCCCATTCTGCCATACTGTAGATGGGAGTGAGGAACTAGACTAAGCAAAAAGCAATTAAGAATCAAAGTACTATGCTCCTAAAGGTTCAAATTAAGTCTTGTAACTCAGCTGTACCTGCTTTTCCCAAGTGCCCAAGTGGAAGGCTCTCTTGCTCCAAGCAGTATTCAAGTACCATCTGCACAGGGCAAGTGTCTTAAGACTGGTGTACATCATGTTGAAAGGGACAGCAACTGGGGTCACTCTCAACACATTTCTGAGTGTGTTAGCATTCTTACTCTTTTTAATAAGAATTGTAGTAGCTTCCCAGGAAAACATTCTGCCAGACAAGGAAGCTTCAGGAAGCATGAGATCACAATTCTGACCATGACTGAGCTGTGTAGGCATAAAGCTTCAAGGCTTCTTAAAGAACTCAACTGATAGCTGTCTTTAATTTTCTGATTTTGCCTTGATGTCACTTACACATTCAGAAAGCATTCCCTTCATTTAGGAGACCATAATTTTTTTTTTTTTTGCTCTTCTGTGATGGAGAAGACAGTATTTTGACTGAATTCAAAAGTAGTGAAACAGCATTTAACTCTGTTCTTTTTAGCATTGCCCCCTCTTGTCTGAGAGGATGGCATGCATCCTTTTACACCTCTTGAAGGAAACAGGTGTCTACTTTTCAACACATTGGCATTAGAAAAAAGACTAGAGGGGTGCTAATGCCTCTTCCAACTCCAGTGAGTCCAGCATAGAGCTTTTCATGCAGGTTATGCTGACAAAGACTGTGTGTAACAGCGCAGGTGCTAGAAAAGCCAAAAATGCATTTAAAGGAAAAAAAAAAAGCGTCTAACAGATTCTGTAAATCCTAGGAAAAAAAAATACATTAAAAGACCCCTCTGCTACAGTCTCAGTTTTTTAAATGGAGACTTCCCTTTCTGCATGCATTCACAGCCCTTTCTTCCTCTCAATGAAGAAACTTCTCAGTGCTGATCATTCACATTGTTTTCTTGCTATCTTATCAACTCTCAGCACTTGCTCCCCATAGCTTTGCTGCTTTACTGCATTTTTTTGGAAAAACAAACAAACAAACAAAAAAACAGAACAGCATTACAGCAATGAGGCATGCCATTGGGGACCAGTGCTGTTCACACCTAGAGGCATCCATGAGACTTGACACACCAGACAGGCAAAGCGTATCATGTAAAGAAAAATCAGAAGAGAGAAGAACTGGCTGGGGGGAAATGGGGAGAAGTGTTGAAAGCCTATCACATTGGTAGCAAGTGGTCATCCCGTTCCTCTGACTCATCACCCAGCTGGTCATCGCCCACACCACGGTATGTAGCTGGTACATTTCGAGGCTTAGATCGGCAGACAAAGTCACAGCCATCCTACAAGCACAAGTTGTTACATTAGAATCAGACTGCATGCAGAATCAGCAGCCACACAAAGCAAAACATATTCAATTTTGCTACACGAACATGTCTACCCCAGTGCTATCTGAGGGCAAGTCCACAGAACCTAGGCTGATAAGAGGATATCCTAGCTTATCCTGAAACTTAGGTCTGGGGTAGAATGTGGTACTGATTAAGTGCAGCAACACACATTCAGAGAATAAACAACACTACTTAAGGTGATCAAGCAAGGGTTTCACATAATCAGGCCTGAACATTCCACAGTTCCCAGCTGAACATTCCTACCTGAAAAGTCTTAATCATAATGAGCAGTAGGGAACCAGCTGCATCAAGGAATTAAAAACAGTGTTCCCCTTACCTAGAATAAGATAGATATCTTCTTTTCCCACAGGGTACACTGTGGCAGGTTTATCCAAGAAACAGTCTATGAAGACAGTGCAGGTGCCTTTTTATTATGTCTTAACACGTGGGCTTAGATTGGGAATATAAAAGGATTTCCACTCACCGCCACCAAATTGCCCAAATCTCGCCAGAAGGCAAAGTGAGGGAACTGCTCCATGCCCTTTGCTCCCACTATAAGGCGCTGGTAGAGAAACCCACCAATGATATAGACTGCGATTACTGAGGAAAACCTAGAGGGCAGAATTAAAAATCAGAACAGCAAAATTACACAAGTAGTCTCTTATAACCCAGTTATACTTGCCTCAGTTTGGCACCGAAGCAAGTAGCTGAACATCACCTAAGTTGAAGAAAGACCATACCAGAAAAGGTCAAAAACATATAGATCTGCTAGAAAAATTTTTCAGGACATCTGCGTGAAGTAGATCTCCAAAGCACAAAGACAGAAAATGAGAAGTCAAGACTCCTAGTCTGAATTTCCAACTGTGGCAAAGAGCTGTTGTACAATTCCAGGAAGTCACACATTCCATGTTTAAGTGCACTGATCTGTAAGCTATGAAGGGAACAAAGCAGCTCTGCAGCATTATGCCTTAACCTAGAATTTGTCTACAAAGCTTGGAGCCACAGTAACATCTAACAGTGACTGAATACAATTATCTAGACTAGTATAACATCTTCCAACAACTCACGTGATTAGTAGAATGGAGCCAGTGCTGAGGTGAGAATCCTCAGCTGGACAAGCCACACTGCTGTCCATCTCAAAGAGGTAGAAACAGTCCTGCTCCTTTTCCCTCTCTTCTGAAATAATGCTGAATGAACTCTGCAATTTGGGAAAAGTTATGTGAAAATACACCCAGGCTTATACTAAACTTCACCAGAAGATAGTTTTAGCTCTATTGGTACAGGGGAACAACCCATAGAGAATGTAAGAAAACATTACTGCACCCTCAAGGCCTTTCTGCTTATAAACAAGCTTTGTCTGACAGCCTCCTGTTCCTGTCCTACCTCATATTGTCACTCACCGCTGTAATTCCTCGCTTGCAAGAAATCATTATCACAGCTCTTCTCTTCTCACCACTGCAGTGCCTACCATATGAATCACCTCCTTTATAAATCAGCATGATCCAGTCACCTGTGAAGAGAGAAAGAATATAGGCTGCAAATCCAGACCAGGAGGCAAAAGCTAGATAAGAAGAGAGATATTGAGTAGTCTTACTTCCATTGAAGACCTGGGTTTCATTGATTCTTCCTATTACTGTAGTCTTTCCAGACTGCCTATCCATTTGTACTACACCAGCAAAATCGTGCAAGCTGCTGTTGACCTCTCTGCATACCCTGAAATGGTAGGCATAGTTTTCAGTTGTGCCAATCTCCACAGTCGTGTTAAATCTGCAGCAGAGAGAGAATAGAAAATAAGCAAACAGAATTACAATGAGTTGAGTTCAAAGCAATTGACACTCAAGACCTGGGAAGCCAGGTCACAGCTCATGCTAACGACAGAGCCCACCCTAAAGCCTGGCCCTAAATTCTTCCACCCAATTGACCCATTAGGTGTAAACACTGCGCACTGGACCCTAAGGTCCACAGCAAGTCAATACTGCTTGTATCATACCTTATTTGACTCAGTGGTTCTAGTTTCTTCAGCAGGGCTTTTTCCATTTGTGACTCAGTACTCTCATCACCAACCACATCACAGCTCTTCTCAGTCAGCGGTTCAGCTCCCACACCAACAGCAAGGGCCATAAAGACTACCAGCACAGCAGAGGTATGGGAATGTGATGACATCCTGGATACATATCACAAAGAACACATGGGATTAACCATCTCAGCCCTCTACAAACTAACTACATGAAGGCTCTTACCGACCATTCCCTCAATCTTGACTACAAATAGAAGTAAAAAACCTATGAACACCTCTCAGTTCTCAACAGACACTACAATCTCTTATACTGAAAAACAAACCAGGCCTCTTTGGGATTCTTTTACAAATTTTGACTTAGAACCACAAAAAGTTTTGCTGCTGAGCATATTAACCAATTTTGATTCAGCCAAAACAGAGCCTAGCAGGCTGAATGCTGGTGTAAGTATCAGGCACGAGCTACTGTTCATTATCACATCCTACTGATAAGCCAGTCAGCAAATAATTTACCAGGCCTCTAATCAAGTCTCTCTGCAGCTTTTGTGTAAAGAGCTTGCAGTGAAGAGCCACTGTGACTTGTCAGGCTCTGTCTGCTCAAGCTCCTTAATCCTAATAATTACGTTATCCTCCAGGACTACTTCAGCTGAGAATTTGAAAGCATTCAGTAGTACTCAGCTGCAATGCCACAGAACAGTTTTCATGAACTGAAAAAGGAAATCGAAACATCCTATGATTAATCCAAGAGAAGGGGAGTAACAAAGACAAGTGGGCATGGGGGCAATGGGTTGACGGTTGGACTAGATGATCTTATTAGTCTTTTCCAATCTTAATGATTCCATGAAGTCTTGAACTTTCAGCCTTCAGGCTTATGCTAAAATAGCACGTAAATCACTCTGCAACTGCACCAGGACAGATTTCCCCTTTGCTTCTCCTAGTGAGGATGTCAGTTCCAGATGCTGGGAACAAACGAACCAC